AATTCTCTATCGATTGGTGTAAAAATCATGCAGATTTGCTTCAGAAAAAATGGGCCAAAAACTTGGAAATCGAGATTTTTAGAATTTTTTTTTCTTTTTCAAAATTTTAGCTCATTTTTCCTGAAACAACCCTATATGATATCTATACCAATAGATAGGAAATTGAATTTCCTATCGATTGGTAGAATTATCATGTAGGACCATTCCAAAAAAAAATGACACAAAAACTTGAAAATAGAATTTGTTAAAAGGATTTTTCAAGTTTTTCGTTTTTTGACCCAAAAAATTTGTAACAAATAGGTATGATATTTATACCAATCGATAGGAAATTGAATTCTCTATCAAATGACATAAATATCCTGTAGGATTGTTCTAGAAAAAAATGAAAAAAAAAACTTGAAGATCGAAATTTTAGGATTTTTCAGGTTTTTTGTTATTTTTTACCCAAATATTCTGAGAAAACTCTGCACAGTTTCAATATCAATCAAAATTCCGATTGATTGGTAAGAATTTCATGTAAGGTTGAATCAGATAAGATAGGTCAAAATCTCAAAAAATCAAAAATTTCCTAAAGTTAGTACTGAAAAATGGGGATTTTTTTTGTTTTTTCAAATTTTTGATCACAATTTTCTGAAACAAACTTATATTGTATTTATACGAAGCTGTAGAAAATCAAATTCTCTTTCGATTGGTATAGATAACATGTAGGACTGTTTTGGGAAAAATGACCCAAAAAATTGAAAATCGAACTTTTAGGATTTTTCAGGTTTTTTTCGTTTTTGACCCATATAATTTGTAACAAACATATATGATTTTTGTATCAATCGATAGGAAATTGAAATCTCTATCAATCGGTATAAACATCATGCAGGGTTATCTTAGAAATAGTATCAAAACTGTGAAAGATTCAAATTATTTTCAAAAAACTTTTCCTGCAACCAACCTAGATGATATTTATACCAATAGATTAAAAAAAAATGTTTCCATACGGAGCTGTTCAGGATCAAATTCTCAGTCGATTGGCATAGATATCATGTAGGGCTGTCTCAAAAAAATGGTTAAAATTGCGAAAATTTGAAATTTTTTTCGACGAATTTTTCCTGCAACCTAGATGATATTTATACTAACAGATAGGAAATTTTTTGATCTACAAGTACGACATTCGAAGTTTCCGGAATTATCGAAAACGTCCCATGTGGTGTCGATCAGGCTCCCCGAGAGCCCTACAGTACGAGAGCCATGTCGCATCAAAAATCTATCTCTATGCGTAAAAAAAGATCGTACAATGTTGCCAATCTCCTATTCTAGACACTGCAAAGCAATCTCAACTAATCATCTTCAGCCAAAACTTTTTTTTCCAATTTTTGTACATTTCCAGTTATATAACAATAGCCAATAAGTAGGAGTTCCACTGTCCTTTCCTTCTTCAGTTCCCATTGCACAGTCATCATTGCTCCTCTTGACCATCCTACTCTCTCCGTAAAAATGTTTCAGTTTTTCGGCTGATAAGAATAAGAAAGTGAGTCTGGAGAACTGGTACCTCCTGGAACCGTGCTGACACGGCGCATTTCGGAAAATAGAGGGGGAAGAGGGAGTGAAAGAGAAGATGCACTTTTTTGTGTTAGTTTATCTAAACTAAACTTTTCGGCTGGAATGGTTTTCACTTTCTTAGATTTTTTACTCTCTTTTTTGTTTGTCATTTTGTTGGCGCCAGTTATATTTACTCTAATAAAGGGGCACCCGACTTCCAAAGACCTCTAGAATTGGGAACTTGGGAACCTTCTTTTTAGGTTCCAAAAAGTTTCGGTTTATCCTGATGTTCAACTAGGTGTCAAGGTGCTCTAAATAGAAGGGCTTTTTCGGTTCCCCGGCTGGTAGTATGACCTAGTTTCGGATTTCTAGGCCATCAGTTTGCTGAAACAGGCAAATTTTTCCTAATTTTGTTAGTGCCCTATTTCAGGGGTTCTAGGCCATAAACCTAACAGTTTGGGTTTCTAGGCCACCAACTTGAAAAACTAGGCCATCGAATTTCCTGCAAAATTCTCCAAAAACTAGTCGGAACGGACCATTTTGAGCTGAGTTACAGGCCAGTTCGGGTTTTGATCCTTAATCGGAAGCTACAGTATTCCTACATGCTGCACAGGTATGACAGCCTAGTTTTGGGTTTCTGGGCCATCAATCCAAAATCCTAGGCCACCCCTGCCCAACCCATCCCGTCCAAAAAACCATCTTCTTGAGAATTCCAAGAATGACCTCGACGAAGGAGACGTTAATAGTTTTTCTCCTACATGTCATCTCCTTCAATGTTTGCTCAAGAAGAAGACGACAAGATAGTTTGCGTAACCAGCCGAAATGCCTACTCTTCCTCCTTGAAAAACTTCTTTAATGGAAATAATCCAAATAGGAACAACCTGGTACTGAATGGTCTTTCTCTTGGAAGGGGAGGGAGGATCACAGGCCAGTCGGAGGAGGAAGGGTCGGTACAGTTCAAACATATGACACACACACACACAAGCTTGTGGTTTCTCTCTCGGAGTAAACTGCGGTAGAAGGAAGTTGTTGAGAAGTTTGGAAAAAAATGAAATGGTGTAACTGAATACCCGATCTAGGTAAAGGAGTAGAAGATCAGCGAGTGCAAGGGTACTGTAACTTAGGACCCTTGTTTCCGGGGAGACATTTTTTGGATTACTGTAGTTTTTTGTGAACGACAGGTCAAAAAAAATGACCTGCAGAATTTTGAAGGGAGTGTGATGAAGGATCATTTTTATCAAAATGGCCTAGTTTTCCAATTTGATGGCCTAGAAACCTAAAATTTTGATTAGATGGCCTAGAAACCCAAATTGGGGATTTGATGGCCTAGAAACACCCAGAATAATTTCAAGCTTCCTGTTTTTGATCCGGTCGAATTTTCAGGAGTTGGTGAACAAAATTTCCAAAAAGACAAATATTTTGATTTTGTGGCCTAGAAATCCAAAAATAGGCCATAATACCAAATTTACAGGAGATTTCATTTCCTTTCTGGACATCCGGAAATACTGAAACTCATGGATTTTTTTTTGTTTGACATCCGGACAAACAGATACCTTTCTCTCTCTCTCTTCCTCTAGTCAGGACTCAAAGGTACCTAGAGAAACAGCCCCCAGATCCCTAGCTGCCCCTACAGTACCCCGCTTCTCCAAAACTTTGGCTTCCCATTTTAAACAAAACCATAACAGGTGAGCCAACACACGCGAAAAGTTTTCTGCCCCCATTTTTGGTCATCCGATCTTTCCTCTTTCCTTCTCCTCCACTTCCTCCACGGGCTCCCAGGAGCCTACACGTCTTAGGTTCCGGGGCTCCGTAGCTCCGAAGCGACCACCGAAACTGACCAAGAAGGACTGTTTGTCCTGTGTTGCTGATATATATATTTTGTAAAAGAGTAAACTTTCGCCGCTAAAAAGTCATCCCACTGTCCTCCAACAAGACCCCGGAAGTGGAACACAGTCTCCTCCCCCCTCTGGTTTCCCCATATTTCCCTTTTTTTCCAACAAAACTTGTGTCAACATTAAGTGGTAGGAGCGAAAAGGTACCGGGGCGCCGCGCGGCGCACCGACCCTAGGAGGGAGGAGAGACTCTCTTCTGTGCCATATATCCTTCCATTCCCGCCCTTCGGCTTCCTGGTACAGTGACCTGACACCAGTCTTCTTCCGGGGTGGTATCCAGGAAGAGGTTCTCCCTTGGTCACTTTCATTTTATTCCAGGGCTCTCTGAGGGTGGCGCTGAGGTCCTGAGGCTCCCTTGGGGCTGCCCTCAGGCCTTGGCCTTGACTTAGTCTTAGCTATGGACATAAGGTCCTGGCCTTGGATTGGACTTAGACTTAGGCTCAGATTCTTAGGCTTAAAGGTTGCGGCTTGTCACCTCAGGCTTGTCACCTCTTGTCTAGTTCTAAGTCTAGGCTTGAACCGAGCCTTAGTACAGGCCTAAGTTATACCCTCAGCCTAACCCTATGCCTAAGTTTTAGCATAAGCCTAAGCCTAGGCCAAAATCTTAACCTAAGCCTAAGTCTAGGCCTACATCTAGGCCTAAACCATTTTTTTCCTATTCACCACATCATTTTAGTCCCCTTATTCTCTGTTATTTTGGTTTCTTGGTTTCTGTGGAATTGCACTTTTTCATATTTTTTTCTGCTCCCAAATTTCTCCAGACACTTTCCCACACTACTCCGTTCTTGCTCTTTTTTGGAATTTTCAGCTCATTGAGCTCGAATTTTTTTACTTACTTTTTTGTGCTCTTTCCCTATTAAACTTGGTCTTATCTACCGTTTTTTTCAAAATTTGAATTCCCTCCAAATCTCGATTTTTCCAGAATCCCAAAAACACAAAATCACTATGAACTGTGAATCCTTGCTAACCGCTCTTGACGTCTCCACTCTTCTCTCCTCTCTCTCCTCCACTTCCCCGGATAAAGAGATCCGCCGAAAGCGTCGTCGTGGCGAAGTGGCCAATCCATCGAACACCTTGGACGCCCTGGTCGCCCGTAAAGCCGATGATCAGCCATTCGAGAAGAGATATCTCTCTGAGCAAGAGGCCATTGAGGGACCCGACGATGAGATCGAGATGAAAAAGATGGAACTGGATCCGGATGTCTCCACAAGAACGTGCTCCACATGTGGATATCAAGGGAAATGGGTGTCCGAGATGATTCGTCATAAGAGAGTTCACACTTCGGAACGGCCATTCAAGTGCAGATACTGCTCCAGGACCAGCAAGTGGAAGGCTGACTTGATTAGACATGTTGCAAGTGAGTTTTAGGGGCTTAGGAAAGGTTTAGAGAAAAGCGAAAAAGATTTGACCCCAGCGGGGGTTGAACTCGGGTGTGAAAATTCAAAAGCGAACGCGCTAGCCACTAGGCCACGGGTGCAAGCGCCGACGTTGGAGAAAAAGGGGGTAGACATTGTCGCGGGTTACAGCAATCTCTCTCTGTCTCCCCCCCACCCCCTCCTCCCGTTCAGTGCCAACGGTAATCGAGTGGCTTAGTGGCTAGCGCTCGCGCTTACCAATTTCGTATTGTGGGTTCAATTCCGACCGGGGTCAATTCTTTTTGTTTTTTTCTCAGGATCTCAGAAATCTGAGTCTGAGCCAGCCTAAACATGCCTAACCTTGATTTCTCTTCCAGAAACCCACGGAATCCGCGTCGTTTCCAAATACTCCCGCTCTAAAGTGTTCGACGGCTCCAACAACAACAACAATGACTCCACCTGCTGCTCCGACTCGGATCGTTCCTCCGCCTGCATCCTCCCTTCAGAAAAACGCCAGGTCTTCTATCGCTGCCAGCTGTGCTCCTTCGAGGACGAGCGGGTCTCCGTGCTCACAAGCCACGTGAACCATGTGCACGCCACCTCTCCATGTGTCTGTCGGTGTGGTGCCAAGTTTGAGGATGTCCAAGGAGCACTGGCACATACCAATGGGGCTTGTAGTCATGTGGATATGGTTTATAATGTGATGCCTACTTATGAGAAAGGTAAGAGATAGACAGACACACAGACAGACAAGAAACCGAAAATTTTTCAGCTTCCCCACTCTCACCATGCCGTTCTGAGTCCTCCTCCGACAGTGGAATTCAAACGGATCCCGAAGAAGACCTCTCCCTTCCATTGACCCTCAACTCCTCCCCTCTCCTTTTATCCCCATCCCTTCCCATCCTGGCCCAACCCTCTCCAACCCTCCTCCCCGATATCCACTCGGCACTTCTGAATCTTCAACCAAATCCATTGATGTCCCTGTACCTGGCGAGCCTCCTTCAGAGCTCTTTGCTAAGCCCAAATTTGAATTTCGCGCCGGTCCCCCCTCAAGTTGTCCCCACTACCGTACTCCAGAGTCAAGAGGAGATGGTTGATGTGGAAATGTGATTGAAAAATTTTTTTAAAAATATATATCCTAATCTCAGGTCAACTCCCCCCAGCATTCTATGTCCCTCTGGGCCCGTTTCCTTTTTGGCCCCATTTCTCTACTTAGCCACGCCTCCCCAATTTTCCTAGGTATCTACTCACTTATGAATCTCTCTCGTCTGAAATCCCACACTCTCTCAGTCAATCCCTGGTGATCATTTTTGGAAAAAAAATTTATTTTTTTGATAATTTTATTTTTACTACTGTATACAGGTCATAATTTTATCCCGTTTTTTTTCTCACGAATATTTATTTTTTCTTTTGTTTTGAAGAATCATTTTACCCCCCCCCCCCCCCCTACACAGAAAGTATTACATCATGAATCGCATAAAGTCAGTTTTTGTTTCGATTTTGTGTTTTTTGGACATCCGGATTTTTGGATAGACGGACAGAAAAACAGACAGACAGACAGGCGGACAGACAGACAGACAGACAGACAGACAGACAGACAGACAGACAGACAGACAGATAGACAGACAAACAGACAGACATGCGGACAAATATGTAGACAGGCAGATAGACAGACATACAGATAGACAGACAGATAGGTAAACAGAGAGACAGGCGGACAGACAGACAGACAGACAAACAGACAGACAGAGAAACAGACAGGCAGACAAGCAGACATACTGAAATCGCGCGGCGCATTTGCGATCCGAAAATTCGTATTTTTGAACAAAAAATCCAATTTTCGGAGTCTGAAAAGGTTGGACATCTGGACATCCGGACACATTTAGGAACCTAGAAAATTGACTCATGACTCTTAATACATGTTTTTGTCTCCTTTTTTTTGAAGACCCACAATCTAAAATTAAGACGTCAGCGGAACGAGATTCTGTATAATTATCAATGGAGCATGACTAACGGACAGGTGTTCTTTTTTCAAAAAACAAGCAAAATGAGAGCCTAGATGAACAGGAACAAGGACATTGAGCAAAGTTCAGTTTTTGAGAAAAATATGAAGAAAAGAGCAAGATCAAAGGAACAAATTATGGGAGTTTCTCACGAAATTCATTTCTAATGAAAAAGTAATTGGCTAGGGAGCGGAATAATTAGGGCGAATTGAACTTTAAGGATTTCAGGTACTCGAACAGAAAATTTATGGTAAAAAAGCTGAGAAAAAGGGTCAGGGAAATCAGAAAAACGTTTCCTAAACATACAGACAGACAGACATACATTCTGACAGACAGACAGATCTTGGGATGAATTGAACAAAAAAAATGCAAATTTTCAAATTCTCACCAAATTTTTGGATGTTCGAACAACTCCCGCCAGAATTCCTTCGAATTCCAGCCGAAAATATTCGAATTTTTGAAAAATTGAACTCCCGCCAAAATAATTGTTTAGCGATAGATTCTTCTGGAAGACGAGAGAATGTTTCGGACAGTAACTACCGTAATCCAACAGTAATCCGGGGCTCTGTAGAATTGAAGCGTTCCGTGACCCATGAACACATGCCAAATATGGTACCAAACGACTCAAAGTTAGTCAGTGATAAGTGCTGGACAGACAGACAGACAGACCTAAAGACAGAGCTTGCCGCTTGGTATATAGCAGTACAGACTCCAGAGCACGACCATTTTTTCTGAATTTATATATATATCCAATCTTCCAGATCAAGAAACTTTGATACGTCTGTAAGATGTGCTCATGTTCCACTCCAATAGATTTGCTCATCCAACTGTGACGGTTCTAGAGAATTCCGTTCTTAACTGTGCCTGAAGTGTATGCAAAAGGGAACAAGGTATGCTCAACTAGAAATTGAAGTTTCTTAGCTCTATCAATTTCCTGGCTCCGTGACACTTCGCAACTATGACATTTCGAAACCCGACATTTCGGAACCGTCGAAAAATAAGATTGAAATTTTCAAATTTTTTGACTCGATTTCAATCGATTTTTTGAAAATTTAGATCAAAATAAAACTCGGAAGCTTTTATAGAAAAAAAGCGGAATATTTTTTTCGGTGAAATTTTTTCAAAAAAAGTTTGAAATTTTATTTTTTTTCTAATTTTCCAGAAAATCGATCAGAATCAAGTCAAAAATTTGAAAATTTCAAGCTTAGTTTTCAACGGTTTCGAAACGTCGCGAAGCGCAATTTTCAGTCTTCTCAGATCCATAGTTTCCAAAAAAATCTATAAATCGTTCTGCTCGAAAAATAATTGTCGTGAGAACCATTATTACTTTGAACTTTATGATCCCGATGTTATTTCCACCAGACAGCCTTTCCCCCTGTTTCCTTTAATCTTAAAATCCCAAAGGGCCTTCTGAAGTACGTCACCAACAGCTTGGCCCACAAATGATCATCATCCATTGAACCTTAACCATTGGTCAAGTGGTCACCAAAACAGACTTATCTAATTGTGATTTCTTCGAATTCACGGATCACTAGCTTTTTGGAGTTGAAGTTCCTTCCCCCGTCCTACGTGAGTTTCAGATTGGATTTTTCAAGATTTTTTCGAAAAACATTTCTTTATGTTTCTCAATAAATTTGCCTAATCTAAACACTTTATATAGGACTATCTTCAAAGCTGCTTAGGTACACACACTACAAACTACAAATTGCCATACTTTCTTATTCGCTAATAATTAGCAACTTATATATGTCTGCCTAGCTTCAGAGCTGCACACACTACAAACTACAAATTGTTATATACTTCCTTATTCGCTAATTATCCACATGATCAACGTCTCCTGTTATCCGGTGGGAATTGGAATTAAAATTAGAAGACGATTATCTCTGAGCACCTGATATTTTGTGCTGCTTGTGACTGACTTGTTATTATCAATTAGACATCATCATCATCAGCTAATTAGAAAGGATTTGTGATTTTGGCGTCAAGTTCTCCTCCCAGTCAGGTGAGCACTTTTTTCCATTTTTGGATTTATTTCTTCTGAATTTCAATTTTTGAAGCTGGGTTTTGTGGATTTTGAAGGTTCTGAACCCATCGTCAGCAGTTAGGCTTAAACAGGCGCACACTTTTTTAAAGTTTTGGCGGCAATTCGAAACCTCTGAAATTACAAAATTTTTGGCGGAAACTCAAAAATTCCAAATTTCTTGAATTTTGGCGGGGGTTCAAAAATTCATTTTTCAGTGGGATCTCGAAAAATCAAAACTTTCTAACGGGATTTGAATTTTTGAAACTTTGGCGGGAATTGGAGAAATATAGACATTTGGTGGGAATTCAAAAATTCCGAATTTCTTGAATTTTGGCAGGAATATCGGAAATTCGAAAATTATAAAAACTCGGCAGGAATTCGAAAATTCCAAATTTAAAAAGTTTTGGCGGTAATTCGAAAATTCCTAATTTTTAAAGTTTTTTCTAGAGTGAAATTTCACGATTTTCGGCAGGGATCTCAAAAATTCAAAACTTTTGGCGGGAGATCGTGGTTTTGAAAATTTGGCGGGAATTCAAAAATTAAAAAATTTGGCGGGAATTCGAAATTCTTACATGAATTCGAAAATTCAAAATTTTGGTGGTAGTTCAAAAATTTCAAATTTCTAGAGTTTTGGCGAGAATTCAAAATCCCACATTTCTTGGATTTTGACGGGAATTCAAAAATTCCAATTTCTTAGAATTTTGGCGGGAATTCAAAAGTTTTAAATTTCTTGAATTTTGGTGGGGCTTTGAATTTTCCTAATTTTTGGCAGGAGTTCAAAAATTCCAATTTTCTAGAATTTTGGCGGGAACTCGAACATTTAAAAGCTTGACGGGATTCGAATTTTTGAAAGTTTTGGCAGCAATTCAGATTTTTTAATTGGACCACCGTAAAAGGAAGCTCGCTGCTTAATGGGTTCGAGCATAGATTTTTAAACAATTTCTGCTCGAAATGTCCCATTTTCTCCAATATTTTTGCCTAATTTCTAGTTTTTTTCCAGCCACAATGGGCCTGCTCCTCTCCACCGACTCCAACCGATTCGTTCCCATCATCAACATTTACTTCCACTTCTACCTAATCACCGGACTCCTCTTCCAATTTCTCCTCCTCCTTCTAATCATCAAAAAGTCGCCATCCAACCTTCGCGACCTGAAAATGTTCCTCTACAATACGACTTTATGTCAGATTGCAAACATTTTGGCTGCCTATTTTATACAATACAGGTGACCCCTTTTATTATCATTTTTTATTTATTCAAATCGGTTCAGG